AATACTAGTGCAAAAATCCAGCAAGACATTTGGAAGAATTCAAAATCAACAGCCCGAACATACCTTTTTAATGGAAAAGAGAAAATCCTTAACATTGCCTAGTTTTTGCTTCTGTACATAAACAATTATAAGAGATTTTGTTTGTGTATAACAGACAATTATAGTTTCCATTTGAAGAAATCCGATTATCTGTCAGACGTCAATTGAGACATGATCATGCAACTTTGATGGAATGGTGCCAAACAAAAGCTATAAGAGTTCCCAATGCATCATACAAAGGCTACAAAACACATTTGAATGCGTTTTGGAATCTTGTCTAAGAGTTTCTTGTTTGCCATTTTGGGAAGCAGTCAATGGGGAATTACATTAGCCTTTGCAGGTAGCATACAAATGGGCATTGGGCAAGAGGGTATTTTTTGCTTACCATACTGAATTCAAACAATGACAATGATTAAGGGATTAAATATGATGATAAAGAAGAAACTGCTACATTTTGTTCATCTGTTTAACGTAATCTAGCCACGACACTTCTTCTGTTTTTCCTTGAGTCAACATGTCCTTGATTCTGCAAGATAAACATTACACATACTGTATAATTGCACACATGTATAATTGGCACATGTGCATAATGCACACTTGTGTATAATGCACACATGTATATAATACTCACTTGTGTGTAAATGTGCACGTGTATAATGCACACCTGTAAATAATGCTCACTTCTGTATAATGCACACTTGTATATAATGTGCACATGTATATAATTCACACATGTATATAATGCACACATGTGTATAATGTGCACATGTATATAATGCTCACTTGTGTATACTGCGCACATGTATATAATGCTTACATGTATATAATGCTCACTTGCATAAATGTGCACATGTGAATAATGCGCACATGTACATATAATGCTCACTTGTATATAGGCCTAATGCCCACTTGTGTATAATGCTCACTTGTGTATAATGCGCACATGTATATAATGTGCATTGTATATTCTCACATGAGGGAATATTATGTTCAATTGTTCTGTTAGTGTTATGGATTGTGCTAATGAAGATAGGTGATGCCATGCAGTGTCCAATGGGTGAAATTGTAGTATGATGTGAAGGTACTTACCGAAGTTGTGATAGTTGTGTTCCCATGAGATTCAGGTCTGGTAATGCTGTCATGCCTTCCATCTCCATGTTTTCTGTATACATTGATAGATACTCTAGATCTTCTGCAAAAGATTCAAGTTGCATAATGCATGAGTGCTATTGTAATACACACATAAAATTAAATGGAGTAACTATATCTAATATTTCTGCACCAGGTAAGGCAATACAAAGTGGCAATGCCATGCAGTGTGCAATAAGGACAATTTTGTTATAGTTTCCTCTTTTTACAACTGATGAAGAATCTTAGTTTGTGGTCAGGTTTTTTGTCCCCTCTGAAAGACTTGCTTTTCCATGCAACTGAAAAATCTGAATGCATTATCTGAAAAATCTGAATGCCTTATCTGAAAAATCTATATGCGATATCTGAAAAATCTTAATGCGTTATCTGAAAAATCTTAATGCGTTATCTGAAAAAATCTTTAGGCATAACCTATGCTCGGAACTTTAGGTTTGTAAGAAAGCTTCGAGCTCACTGAGTCACATGGCCATTGGAATTTAAGCCCTGCACTTGAAGTAATGGTTAAGATATCTATGCAAATCTCAAATCCTTGGAGGATTCAATCATTAAAACATCTCTTGCAGCTCTTTATCAAAGTCAAAACAAAATAAGAATAACCAACCTGGATCAATCTCGCCTAGCTTCTCAGCCTTTTCTAAAATAACAGCAACACTCCAATCAAATGGTATCCTTGGAAATATCTCTATATTGGTGGCAGCCATTTTAAATTCCATCAGCTCCAAAAGCAACAGGAAGTTGTCATCTTTGAAGTAATTTTCTTCTTTTGATGTAAACAAAGTAAGTGGAGTTGATTTTTTTAATGCTGAAAGACAAAAAAAAAAATTTATTTGAAAATAACACTTACAAATGTAAAAAACAATTGATAAGTATCCTGAGAAAGTGATAAGGGCAAATAGAGTTGTTCCCAAGCAGGGGAAAACAAAACAATGCATCGAAATGTACCCTGTTATTTCCCTGTGAATCATTGTAGCAAACTGAGCAAAATAAAATAAAATTTTTTCCACTATTTTTAAGAGAATTGGAATAACAAAATAGTACTGTTAGTCTAGGATATCTTGCGGTAATAAAAATATAAACATAAACACACATTATGTCTTCAAAATTTGTTTTTACAAAGAACAATTTTCAGCCAAAATTTGTGACTTTTTGGGTTGAAATTTCTATGAGGGAAATGTGTTTCTTTTCAATGTAAACTAACAAAAACATATAATCAAGACATGCTAAGACTAACAGTACTACTTTGAGGCTGATATTCCAATTCTCATTAAACTAATGGATAAAATTAAAAAAAAAACCTTTATTTTGCTCAGACAATAGGGTAAATTTTGATATACACATCTTTTCAATCAAGCTCTGAATCAATATACCAACATTTTTCATGCATACCGCATAAGCTAGTCTTCTAGTCTTTGTCACTTCGATCCATATAATTTTTATTGAATTGCAGTTGGATTATCGAACAAGACAATGTTCATTACATAAATTGAATGGATTTTTCAATATTTTGGCCTCCAAGTCTTATTGCAAGCCAAAATTTGGACTCTTTAGTAGAGATGTCATCAAAACAAGTAAAATTTTGCACATTTTCAGCAAAAATCTGTAGAACATCCTCAGCAAGCTATGACACTGATACCCCTTTACAAACAAATGAAGCCTTTAAGATAGTAAACTTACATTGACAGCATAATGGAATACAATCCGGACTGTCACCAAATTCATCTTGAATATCTAGAAAAAGAGGATTATCAATTATCCTAAAACTTAATGAAACTCAAAGCGTCTATTACATACATTAAAGATGGGTTTCCTTATTTTTTAGTGTCAAATTAAGCAAACTATTTGATTAATTGGTGTTTCTAGTGAATTATCATGTATTCTTAATCATATCATTATGTTCTTACTGCATATAATTAATATAATTTTAACCAATCATAAATGTCCATGAATGTACAGTCTGGATAAACAAAAAAAGACCTTTTGACCTTTCTTGATTGGTCACTCATTGAAATTCTGCTGGTAATTCTCTTCTAATTTAGCTAATCATGAATTAATTATGGACATGTGAGACAAACTGGTATTTTTCCAAGTCATTAGAATATAAGTATTAGTATTAGCATTTTCGTAAATGAAAAAAGGGAACCCATCTTTAACAATCATGTAAGTTATGTTAAATCAGATATCTGGACGTTGTTCTGCAAAAAAAAAGTGGGGAACCCGAAAAGAAAGGTTTTAATTCAAAAAAGTTTTAGCTTTGGTAACATCAAGAACATAGTTTGAAGCCATGTAAATCTCTCTGTATCAATCTACTTTAAAATTTAACCAGGAACCTGAAGTCAGATGTTAAATTTGAAAAGAGATACAGATGGCTGAAATGAGGGGTCTATAATTGGCTGGTAAAGGAAATATTTCTAAAATGAACTTACAAGCTTTAGCTTTGGCTACATCAAGAAGTCTAGTTTGAAGCCAAGCCAGTCTTTCTGTATCAATATGTTTAATAGTTTTATCAGCTGATAGTAGAACATCATCCATCTCCATTGGATTTTCCTGTTTTATTCCTGTCATGTCCTTCATTCCATTCTCCTAGAATTGCAGGAAAAATGCTAAAATATCAGGAGGCGTCTGTGTGGAAACTCTCAAATTAAGTGCTAAGAACTATGACAGATGTTTTGCATATAATATTTAACAGAACACTTAAATCGATCGGTTTTAATTTAATTGCACACAAATCTGGTGTCGGATTTTCATTCAAAAAAGTGTTATCAAATAATAACATGGCTTTATCAATTCAAAGAGGGTGCAAATTAACTAGAAATTTATTGCTGTTTAAAGCCAGCGCCATCGTGGACCCTCTCCTTCCAAAATATGCAAAAAAATCATATTTATTGATTTTTCCTCGAGAGATTCTGAGTAGAAAAACTCAATCTTGGAGTGGTATAAGGTATTCAGCAATCTTACCTCAAGAAGTATGAACTGTATTTCATTCATCATTTTATCTGTTACCATTCCAGTAGTGGACAGTAACTTAGCAACCTGCAACAAAACAAATTTAAGTACAATATGGCACCAAAATTGGCATTAGTCATATCATGGGATACAACATTTTTTGATAGTACTTCGATGTGAAAAGAAATGAATGGAGTTTTACTTCCTACTTTTCTGCACCATGTAAGATAATAAAAACGGGCAACACCATGCAGGGTGCAATGAGGGAAATTTTGGCCAAGAGAGCAGCATTAGCCTGTTCTTTTTTGATTTCCAACTGTCGAGGGATCTTTAACGTGCACAGCCTGTAGCACACGGGGCCTCCGTTTATTGTAACTAGACTTTTTTTCATATCAGCCCCTCGTACCTGCATCACTGACAAGGGGAAACTGGGTTGAAAAATCTAAAGGTATTATCTCAACTTATGCCAGGAATGAACCCTGGACCGTCAGGTTAGCGAGCAAGCGTCTAACTCATTGAGCCACCGCGGCTCCTGTTCTAATTTGGAGGGCCAATCGACATTTATCAATTTGCGGACACATGTAACATCATTGAAGTTCAATGGATTTAATTGATTCCACAGAATTATTTTGGGGATTTGGCCTCAGAGGCGTATTTATGCATATTTTTCACTGCCAATTTTTTTTAACATAACATTTTGTTGAACTATTTTGTGATATATTTGAGGTACCTGAAGAGCTGTCTTATTAATGTTGTATTCTTTAAGATGATCAACAATATCAGTTATAGTACAATTCTCTTCCATAGCCAGATAGCTAAATACCATATCTTCATCTTCCCAAGTGTCTTCTTCTTTCTCTGCTACCATTTCACTGAAATATTGACAGCGTGAAATATTGACAAGTTGAAATATTGACAGGGAAAAATATTGACATGGTGAAATATTGACAAGTTGAAATATTGACATGGTGAAATATTGACAGGGAAAAATATTGACATGGCGAAATATTGACATGGTGAAATATTGACATGGTGAAATATTGACATGGTGAAATATTGACAAGTTGAAATATTGACAGGGAAAAATATTGACATGGTGAAATATTGACATGGTGAAATATTGACATGGTGAAATATTGACATGGTGAAATATTGACAAGTTGAAATATTGACAGGGAAAAATATTGACATGGTGAAATATTGACATGGTGAAATATTGTCATGGTGAAATATTGACAAGTTGAAATATTGACGTAGTGAAATATTGACATAGTGAAATATTGACAGGGAAAAATATTGACATGGTGAAATATTGTCATGGTGAAATATTGGCAGGGTAAAATATTGACATGGTGAAATAATGACTGGGCAAAATACTGACATAGTGAAATATTGACATGGTGAAATATTGACATGGTGAAATATTGACAAAAATAAATATTGGAGATTGGCAATTAAGGTTAATTGGCATGATGAAATATTGAGTACTAGGTAGGCTTAAGTGACAATGTGAAATATTGATAATGTGAAATATTGACATGGTGAAATATTGACTAGGTGAAATATTGACAAAAATAAATATTGGAGATTGGCAATTAAGGTTAATTGGCATGATGAAATATTGAGTACTAGGTAGGCTTAAGTGATAATGTGAAATATTGACAAGGTGAAATATCAACAATGTGAAATATTGACAAGGTGAAATATTGACATGTCAAATATGGACAAGTGACACAATGATTGAAAGAAATTTTGCTATAAATATCTTTGCATACCTTTTTTCAGTCTCCTTGACTCCAGGGTCAAACAACTGGGTAGCCATTGAGTCAGGATTACCAGATGAAATTCTTAAAAATGTTGTCAGAACAGTCTCTATCAAATCAATAAAATCCTGCAAAATAAACAAAAAATATTTTCATACAAATCAAAATATGGTCAAACACAAATTTGAACAGATCATGGATGGTGAGGGTAGTAACCAACAGAAAAAAATCAAAACAAAATATTTATATGTGTAATTAAAATCAGATTTGAGAATAACTTGAATCATTAAGTTCATGTAATTAAAAACCCATGCCCCCCTTTTCAATAACCAGATATGACTGTGGTTCAATACATCCAAATAGCTTGAGGTCATCTATTTCAACCAACCTAAATGACATTTTTTTATAATAAAGGAATTGCCCATTTATCTTATATTCATGACTTTAGTGCATGATTACGTTCATTTTTACAAAACAAACCGTAAAAATGATCATGTAAGTGTGTGTTGATTGGCTGGTTTTGAAAATCATATGTCATCATGAATATATATAAATTCAGGTCCTAATACAAGAACATGAATAATTAGTAATGCAGTTACAAATACAAAATTTGCCTGCTAAAGTGAAACACGATAGAAAATGTAATAGTTTCAGATATGTTGAAGAGACCATGAACTTGAATTGAATAACATCTAATATCTTGACATCACGCACACTTCCTGTAGCGCAAAATTTTGTAGAAGCAGCGATTTTATTTGATTGTACACCAAGTAAAGTATTTAACGATGTCAAGGTATAAGACATAGCTTAACATTGTGAGGACAACTTACAGGGCTGAAGGATTTTTCCCACATTTGTCCAAAAATGATGATAATGGGTAGCTGCAACAGGGCCTCAATCTTGCCAACATCCCCAGCAATGTGGTGCATCAACGTCAGAATGCTGGTGTTCAAATCAGCTGGGTTGTTCTCAAAGTTGGCCAAGGAATAAGATAAGGTGTTCATCAGAGGCTTGTTGGCATACCTGAAATCAAGAGACCATCCAGATTATAATTAGATTCAGGAAGATTTTTATTGGGAAGATGTTAAGTAGATTCCTTAAAGACATATTTGGATGTACCGTTCAATTGAAGTCAAGAATTTTAACAGATGTTCAGAACAATAAAGAAACACATAAAAAAAAAATGTGGGATAGTGAAGTCTTATTGGGTTTTGATATCCCACAATTCTTCAATGTTAGAAAAAAACGTATTCCACTTGACAAGCTTTGATTGGTCAAAATTAAAATAGTTAGAATGGGACCATAGTCAAAAGCAGTGGTGGAGCCAGGTTTACGTCCGAGAGGGGGCGAAATATCTGAGATTGCCCAAATATCTAAGCTAGTTATGAGATTTTTGCCTGAAAAACTTGCTTTCGCGGCAGCCCCTCCTTTGACTCCGCCACTGGTCAAAAGTTGTTAGATCACAATGGAGACAAAAATATCAGAAAAAAATAATACAAAATTGCAATTCAATTTAAATGGATTGTAGGAAACTGGGCACTATGGGCTGGAAAAGCGAAAATATTTTCAACGAGCAAATAATGAGAATAAGGCCACTTACTGTGAAATAAATACTTTAAAATCAAACTGAGAAGGGAGATAATCCAGTCTCTTCCACTTGTTCATCAACGTCAGATAATGATGATTGGCTTGAATCAGGTCACTCAGGTACAGTAGACCTTGCACATGAGGTTTAAATTGATTCAATAATAATATAAAAAATCCTTGAAGAGATTTCATTCCACTAAGTTCACCTGGAAACAGTTACAAATGTGTCAAAGAGGAGCTGTAATGGCTCATTGCTATGGAAGCTATGAAGTGTTAATATCATCATTGTCATTAACAGATACGCCTATTAAGATGGTCATTTGACCTATTTTCACTCCATAGTTTGTATGTTAAGCCCACACTGTTTATAAAAACATCTGATATATATAAATTGATATTGATATGAAATAATTTGTATTTTAAGTCCACCTTTACACTTGACCCACTGTTAATAAAGTTGATTAATTTTCACACCATTCTGTTTATTTAAAGTGTGAAACAGTTTAAATACGGAACACTTAACCAGGCCCGTAGCCTGACCAGTACTCCTGGTGGGGCAAATGTGCGATCGAGGGGGGCAATTTAGCAAAGCACCTTGACAGACGATTAAACGTCGGGAAACAGACTTTCATGGAGTTTTTTAGATTCAAGATTATTTTTGTTAAAACACACAAGTTATAATACGTTACATTTTTAATGCCGTTTTAATTTAAACGTAGTCGGGTATGTTTTATGGCAAAACTTTGAACAAATACGTCCAAGTTAATTTTCTGGGTACGCTTCCTGTTGAAGTCAAGAAGAACAAGATTGCGCTGGCAAAGCTGAGTCATAGATCGTCGTTGTGGTGAGTCAACGCGAGTAAGAGTTGAAAAGCTGCTTTCACACACAGTGGTATTAGAACCGAATGTGGCAACGCTTGCAGCCAGTGCATATAATTTAAGGAAAGCCAATTTCTGCTCGTATAGTTTTTGAAGAACAAGATTGGAGTCCTGCTTTTCTGTATCACCTACAGCATGCTTCCAATCTGTGTAGCTTTCAGTGATGAATTTTTATGCACCCGCAGATGTATTGTATTAGGCCTACAGATAGGAATACTTAGTATTTTGTTGAACCATTTCAACCAGACTCAGTTACCTGCCGCTTCTATTGACTCAGGAAAAAGAAAAGGTGTATTTTAAAAAGTGACCGGTACATTTTTCTAGGGGAGGCAAGTTTTGATTTAGCCCCCCCTTGGCTACGGGACTGCACTTAACCCCGAATTAATTCATCCACTTAAAAAAGGTTTAATTTTTCACAATACGTATTTGAAGCCTACAATAAACCTTGACACACTGTTTACAAAAAAATCTTTGTGCACATGGGTTCCCATGTCTTATTTGAAGGACTAGACACTTTGCCATGCTTTACCTCCCCCGCCCCCAATATTTTAAATTCAGACATGATATTTTAAATTTAGACATGATACTTCAAAATTAAACATGATACTTCAAAATTAAACATGATACTTCAAAATTAAACATGATACTTCAAAATTAAACATGATACTTCAAAATTAGACATGATATTTCAAAATTAAACATGATATTTTAAAATCTGTGAGTATTGTTATGGTGCTATTTTGTCAAGTTTACTAAATAATCACAATGAATAACAAAGAGACTAACGATTCAAACAGAAAAACAAAACTCGAAATCAAAAATCACATACTGGTACTATATTGGAAGCAGTAATTGAACTTTTCATATGAGTAAGTATATCAGTCATAGATAAGTCACAGTAAGTATTTCATAATGAAAAGTGGTGTCAGGTGTCTAAAAGAGTGAGTATACACTGTATGGCACCACATCCACCCAGTGTGTGCAAGACATAAAAGAGGTTTTCTAAAAATTTTCATTTGTATTGGGAGCGCTTAAAGATGGGTTCCCTTATTTTCATTTATGAAAATGAAAATACTAATACTTATATGAATAGAAAGTAGAGGTGCTTTTGTAGGCTGTAAAAATCTTAGTTTAAGAGGAATTGCAAGAACCACAGATGTCTGAATGGTGCAAATTGATTCTATCAGTGTCCCTAATACATATACATATAGGAAGTTTAGAAAACCTCTTTACAATCTCTTTAAATCATCAGAAATGAAAGACTTACTTTGAAAGAGATTCAAGTCCCAATCTTCCTGTTCCAGATCTTTACACAGTTTAAATATATGAGACAAACAAGTTACAGCTAAATGCAACCTGAAAATATCATACATGCATCAATTCCTCTTGATCTTTTAAAGGGGATAGGAGTGTTCTTCATGTAATCCTTTGATCCAACACATTCACATTCACATTGCAACAAAATTATTGGTTGACATCAGTTGATCATCATTTTCCTCTATATACCAAAATAATGCAAATATGTGCAAAGCCAATAATTTTTTGTGTGATTTATTTGTCTCCTCACTGTAATCTAACAACTTTTCTGCCGCACTCCTGTTCTAATGACATAATATTTAACCAATCAAAGTGTCAGAAATGAAATAAACTAAATTGTAAAGTAATTCTAATTAAATTGTGTGAAGGCTTGATAAATCCAAGATGTGGGTCTATCATTTTCAGTAGGGCATTGGGGCAGGGGCCCCATTGGGGCCAGAGCAGGTCAGTCCACCCTGGACTTTGCAATGTAAATAGTTGTACTTACTTTCTTTGGTAAGTAATATTCCAACAATTAGTAAGTTGTAAGGCCATGAGAGATTCACACATATCAACTCCATGATAAATAAGAGCACCACCTAGCTTGACTGACATAAGACACCTAAAAATAGAATTACAGGAGTCCTGTGGAATCATAATGTGTTGGTGCCAAATTTATGGATTTGTGTTATTTGGTCAATTTTAATTTGTCGCGGGATCCAAAATTAATTTTGAGAAAAAATGATAAAATGAAGTTCTACAACTCTGCTCCAATTAAAAAGGGGGAAAGCCATGTAGTGTACAACGAAACAACTTTTGCCAGGACAGTGGCATTTTTAGATTTGGAACTCTTCTAGTTATCTTGAATGTGCAAAATCTGTTGAACTCAAGGACTTGGTTTGCCTG